TACAGTGATCTAAGGATCACCATTCCGCAGCTCCAACGTAACCTGCGCGGAAAACACCCATTCAAAAGCTTGTCGAATTTCACGATCGGCACACTGCGTTGTCTTTTTGGCCACTGCTTGTGCCGCTTGTCAATCCTCTGCTGCTCTGTCCCCGTGCGATGAATTGATAAAATTTTTTTCAATCATTCTTGCGTGTCGCTTTCTTTGCCACTGCTTCGGGTAGCTTTCCTCTGCCCGGAATCCGATTCAGCCCGCTTTCTTTCACAGCAGCTGGCCTGTGGAGCTGTTCGATTGCTGCCTGCTGAGCACGGGGAAAGAGGAGCTTCCAAATATTATTTCGCTTCCGTCGAGACTGATCCACTCGGCAAATTCTCGTTCTCCAGTTTTCTGCTCCCACGCCATTTCGCATCCATTGCTTCAAGGGAGGGCGACGAGCGGCCATTTCTTCGCCGCATATTTCATGCTGTTGTCAGCCGGGAGCACAATGCGTTGCTTCTTGAGATTTCAGAGTCGTTGTCGCCCGATGAAATTAAACAAATAATTTCGATACATCACCACGTTTGCAGTTGAATACCATACATTTCTTCAACAGCGACCTGAAACAGACGGGGATGTAGAGGTTGCCTGGCACGTTGTATTGATTATGGCGAGGAGGAACGCGACAACAACGAAACAACCCATCAAAACGAATTCAAAAACATAACAATATGCGAAAACAGTGAAATTACGGTTGGATCAGTTGGTCAAATTCCCGCATTGTCAACCGTTCCCGCATTTTTGCGTCTTGTATCCGTAAAAACTTCACGTCTTAAATATGAGCAACTACTAAAACTCGGCTCGGCTGCTCAATGCCTTCTCGTTTTTGGGCTCAGGCAGCGAAAGGCACTCGGGTTCTTGTCCAGCCGAGGTTTTATAGATGTTCCGTTCAAAACTTGTAACTTTTCCCCCGCATCAAGTCCCAAGCTGAATATCACAGACCCATATAAGCTAGAATTTTACAGCTTCCATCCCTTCCCTCCTCCACCTTCACCCATCCCCCCCTCCTACCCAACTTCGAGTAAGGCCTCAATCCCTTTGCAGTCAAAAACCTTTCCCCCACCCTCTCTCGTGTTATGACTCCGAAACGTAAATCGCCACCCCGACCTACCCCCCCTCCCCACCTACTTTACCCCTATCCAAGCACTCGAGGGGCATACCGTAACCACTGGACGCAGCCTTCCAATCCGCCGCACCAAGCCG